ACATACGAACATCTTTATTCATGGACGGCCAGACGTATCGTGCAGCGATGAGGCGTAATGTAGCTGCGATACCTGGGTGAGATAATCCATGCAGGGCATCGAATACGAGACGGCGATAAGCAGAGGGTACGATGGGTCGAGGAAGACCGGTAGAAGTATCACATAGAATGGTGCCAGAAGTCGTGGCTAGAGGTACTTCCTGATACTGAAGGGACGTAGAGTGTGGTGCTTCTGTACAGCTGGGATCGTTTGCTTGGGCAGCAGCCATAGCAGGAAGATCGAGCAACGGCAGGGTAACTGCATTCATTTGGATTCGTGATAGAGCATCGGCAACACAGTTCGACTTGCCTTGGATGTGACGAAGGTCTGTCGTGAACTGGGAGATATAGTCCAAATGTCTGCACTCTCGTGGTGAGTAGCGGTCAGACTTGGTATGCAAAGCATACGTTAAGGGCTTATGGTCGGTGAATAAAATGAATCGACGTCCTTCTACTGCGTGCCGAAAATGTTTGATGGCGCAGTAGGCTGCTAGCAGCTCGCGACCAAAAGCGATATATCTCGTCTCCGTGGTAGTGAGGCGTCGTGAGAAAAACTCGAGAGGTTGCCAACTACCGGAGATGTTTTGTTGCATTACTGCTCCTATAGCAACATCGGATGCATCAACCGCTATACTAAGCGTGGCTGATGGATCGGGATGGGCGAGAAGAGTGGCTTGCGCAAGAGCCGTTTTGATTTCAGTGAATGCAGTACGTGCAGAATCGTTCATTTCCAATCTGCGTGGGTTGCCGCGTAGTAAGTCGGTTAGTGGTCGTAACCGTTCTGCCGCGTGTGGGATGAAACGACGGTAGAAGTTAACCAAACCGAGAAAAGCCTTCAGTTCCTTGAGTGAGGACGGCACGTTGTACTCCTTTATTGCTTGCACTTTGTCGTCACAAGGTAAGATACCCTCTTGCTTGATAACATGACCCAGAAATATCATTTCTCGTTTACCTAACTCGCATTTGTCTGGGTTAACTACTATTCCATTATCCGAAAGTCGTTGGAATAATAGCGTAAGATGTTGATAATGTTCATCTACGTTTGATGATGCGATTAGTAGGTCATCAATATAGACGTGAACAAAATCGAGGTCTCGTACAATGCTATCGATAAACCTTTGAAAAGTTTGAGCAGCATTCCGTAATCCAAATGGCATTCGTAGGAACTCAAACAAACCGAAAGGAGTCGTGATAGCTGTCTTTTCGATATCTTCAAGAGCGACTGGGATCTGATGATATGCTCGTACCAGATCGATCTTAGAAAAGATAGTCGTGCCCTTGAGCGATGCCGTGATGTCGTGTATGTGGGGGATGGGGTAGCTATCAAAGCGTGTAACTACGTTTAGAGCTCGGTAGTCGCCGCATGGTCTCCAACTAACCCCATCTTTTTTGCGCACCATGTGTAGAGGAGAGGCCCATGGACTGTGAGAAGGACGAATAATACCAGTAGCTAGTAAATTGTCAAACTCACGCTTAGCAAAAGCTAATTTGTCCGGTGCCAGTCGGCGAGGTCGTGCCGTGACTGGCGGTCCGCGGGTGACTATGTGGTGTACCACACGATTGGTCACCGATGGAAGCTCCTCGAGTGGTTTAGTGAGTACGGGGAATTTCTCGAATAAAGCGTGGAATTTATCGTCACGCGAGTAAAAAGTGCCGAGGATTCGGTACGCGTTCATGTGGGCTTTACAGCCCATGAATTTGCTATTCGACGAAGTATCGATTAGCTGCAGCCTACGTGAATCGACAAGCAATTCATAGTGCTGTAGAAAATCGATACCTAGTATGGCTGTGGGAACATCAGCAATGATGAACGTCCACAGATACCGTCGTCGGTTGCCCAGGTTGACCGCGAGTTGTCGTGTACCGTAGGTAGGAATGATTGAGCCATTCGCAGCGCGTAGTCGAAGCACTGTGGCTTGTGACTTGCTGCTACCTCGTGGTACGACAGAAACTTGGGCCCCAGTGTCTACTAGGAACCTAGCGTTTGTGCGATAATCGTGCACATAGAATAGGCGACCAACCTGGGGAGAAGGGCCGGCGAGTACGGCCGCTTTTACTCGCCGGCGCTGGCGTTTCCCGCCTTGTATGAGCATGGTGCTCGACAACGGCGGGCGCCAGACCCGAAGGACCTATGGAACCAGCACCAATTGTCACTCGCTTCCGTAGCCGCCTTTCGGCGTGGCCTGGAAGATGCCCTTTTTGGGCGAGTGGTGACGGGTTTGCGAGAACTTGAGCGAGCTCGGGGGACGTAGGGCTGGGGTACGTTACAACGGTCTCGAAAACTAAGACGTGCGTGAATACACCCGTCCCTGTCACCATGAGCTGAGGAATGAGCGGCGTCCATGTCTACTTTAGGACGTGCCGTCGAAGCAACTACATAGGTGTCTCTATTGCTAGTCCTCGCCAAAATTTTGTCTGCTATGAGGGCTACCTGGTTAAGCGGTGAGTCCTCGAGCAGTGCCGTCACAGTAGGTTGGATATGGGCTGGTAGTGACCCGAGCCATAATTCCTTAACTATCTCCGAGTCAGATGCTGTTGGTCCTGCAAGAGATTGCAGGCGCGTGAGGTGATGGCTTGGTTTAGCATCACCCAGGGGGTGACGTGCTAACAGGGTCCTCAATCGTTCCTTCCTTGATGGGAGGAAATGTCGGAGAATTGCCTCCTTGAGGCGGTCATAAACATTAGGCACGTTAGAATTGAGGACGACCTCACGAACAGCTACTAAATGGTCCCCGGGTAACGATTCAAGAGCGTAGGCGTATTTTTGCCTTTGGCTCGTGATACGACGAGTCTCGAACTGAGACTCAATAGCAGCAAACCAGACCTCAGGGTCGTGGGGGATAAATGATACAGGTCGAAAATGAATGGCCTGTACGTCTGAGTCTATAACATTAATAGTATTCTTCTCGCTATCCGTCATGTCGTGTATATTATATATTAAAAATTAATATGAAAATATACGACAGACGTGGATAGATAAATAATAGACTCACCAAATTGACTTCTTTGGAAGATTTGACCCGAGGTTGCAGCGTGTTCCAAACTTTGGGATCGTCAATTGTAGCGTGGCGTCGAGTTGAGATCAACTGTGAACACCGCTACCAAGAAACACGTGCCAGATAAATCAGAAGGCGAGGATTGAACGTAACCAGATTTATTTCGTTGGCGATCTCGTGGTATTGAACGAATACCGAGATCGTGCCAAGAGAAGGTACAAGCGAAAGCAGAAGACAGGAGTACGTGCGAACAGTACCAAAAACCGCGGAACAATGATGGAAGGTAATGGAAGCACAAAATGGCTATAATTAGCACAGTTAAACAAAAACACATTAAAACAAACACTGGTACAGTTGGTTGTAATAATAATTGTTTTTATTAAACCAGTCGTGTTCTCGTGATAAACGTGAGTCACTACAATTTAAAAGGTCCAAAATTTGCGTTTATTTCTATTGTTGAATATAATACACAATAGTTGAGTTTCGGGTATCATTTGGATTTCTTAAAGTCTTCAGTTATAAGTACTAGCAAGAATAAATTGAATAAATAGAACTCCACGTGAAGTTCAACAGATTCATCTTCCTAAGCAAACAATTTTTATCTCATTTATTTCGTCTATTTTATTTATTTTTGAGTACAGTTTCTAATGTATAAAGCTATTCAATATACAGAGAATAAGAATAAATTTGAATTTAGAACGGTTATACACAATATGACATTTCAGTATGAAATCAAACAGTAACAAAGCATTACAAATATAGTATTCATATTACCAGGCTGGGTAACCTTCTCATTCTACTATGAAATCATCAATCATGTACTTTGAATGTAAGTTTGGATCAATATTTAAAACTGATTTGACTACAGTAAATCTCTAAAATAATCACATCATTGATGATATACCTTGATGTGATGTAATATGTTATGCGGCATATTATTTATTTAGTAAATGAAACCTAAAATGCTGGGCTTGAATTTCTACATACACTCTAGTACAGATACGTATCAATGATGTTTTTCGTATTTGTGAAAGTATAACTAATGATACAGAGAATATAAGACTTGTAAGTAAACTCGTATTATAAAATGATATCAACTTGGAAACTGAATTGATACCTAGTTGTGTATTCTTATTTCTTCTGCTTTCGTTACATCACATCATTCCGAAAAGACATCGCTTTCATCTCAATGTAATGACATCAAATACTTTACGTTTTAAAAACTGACATACATGGTTGTCTACTAGTTTTGAAATGTAGTTTGGTACTTTATATTCTGATTCAAACTGTTTCTTAACATAGTTTTGCTGATTATTGATGAATAGTTCTGACAAGACTGATAGGTCCTGATTTCGAATCTCATGGAGCGCGATCGTGGATGTACACTGCTGAGTAGTCTTATACTAGGATAAAGCGGCCGTCCAATGCTTCAAGGTTTTCCATGGTGGTCTAGCTTCAATGAACTCATAATTTCAATTATTAAATTACTACAATCTTCACAAAACCCCTCAATGCTCAAGATCTATTTAGCTTTTTTGTATAAAATCTTTCATCAACTTTGTAAAATATTATCGACTATAAATAGAATTAATCGCAAACTTTAAACATCCACATTCTACGACCTAGAGTAAAAAAACAAACAAAAAAATATGCATTTTGTTACATAATAATAGTAATAATAAAAATAATCAAATAATGCTACTAAAAAAACATCAGCGTATCACACATGATCTAATTTTATTTTATCTAATAGTAAATCATAATTGATCCATTGAATATACAACATATACAACTATATAAGCATACAAATGAGATTTATTTAAAAGTATTCTCAACAATATAAATACTTCTCACTAAGAATAAAACGTATTGAGTGAGTACTTTGTAAACAATCAAAATATAAACATTTTGAAAGATAAATTTTAAAGGAATATTTTAATATTTATACATTATATTATACAAAAATATGCCATCTAAAAAAGAAGTTGATGAATTATTGAAAATGTTTCATGATATAGATAGAAATAAAGATGGTTATATTTCAAGAACAGAATTATTCACAAAGGTTGGCACTAAATCTTTAGATCGACAGAAAGTTCATGTAAGTTAATTGCTAAAATATTATATTATTGTTTTAAGTATTTAATAATTTCAATGGTTAATATCATGAGTCAGTTGAAGCTAGACCACCATGGAAAAACCGAAAGCACTGGACGACCGTTTCTTCCTATTGTGGGACTCCTCAGCAGTGCGCACCCATGACCTCGCCCTCTGCGAGATTCGAAACCAGGACCTACTGGAGCACATAACCACTAGACCACTGAACCTGTCGTCATCCAACGGTATTAATGTTTAACTTCAACTAATCCACGAAATTGAGCGACACATCCACCATTGTCATCACTGAGTTACTATCTCACAACAGACCTGGTTGAACTCCACTAGTCACTACTTCTCACTAGAACTCCAAGATATACCTCTTGAAGCCAGTCATTAGTGAGCATATGTTGATTAATATCAGATGGGTTTTGTGGATATTATAGTAATTTCAGTGGTTGAGATCATGAGTCAATTGAAGCTAGACCACCATGGAAAACCTGGAAGCACTGGACGACCGTTTCTTCCTATTTTGAGACTCCTCAGCAGTGCGCGTTCACGAGTTAGTAATTTTCTATAGTTATTATAGTTGAAAAAGAATCAGATTCGATCGAATCACATGTGGATCGCTAGTTTCAATGCTTATTATGCTGGAAAGTTACAGATAATTTTATTTATTTTTTTACTACACCGGATAATCTAACGGATACTATGCTTCCATTGTCATCCTATTAAGCATAAACATAAAGAATAATTGATTGGTTGTTATATAAGTTATCCAGAGTTAAACATATCCGATCTGGTGATTTACGTTGACTGGTCATTAAGTGAACATTAAGTGAACATTAACCAACGTAATCATCATTTAGTCCTTAGCGTTGATCTCATCCTATTGTTTAAGCTTAAATGTAGACACTAGTCTTATTGATTCAGCACTACACATACTTTATTTCAACGTTAGCTGGCCAGAAATAGTTGACGGAAAACTCAGGTTCTATGTTTCATGCTAGTTGTGCGACTAGGAGGTCTAGGTTCGAACGTACTTTAGTGTATCAGTTCTCTTAACATTACAGACACATCTTGTTGCCGAGAGGCAATTAGCACAAAATATAAATCGTGTTCACTTCTACCTACCTCCAACGGAATAATAATAACACGATGGTAAAGGACGAAGTTCAAACAAATTAATAGTTGGTTTTTGACGTGTAATAAGTTTGTTTATTTTATTCAAAGTTAGAAGCATCTCATTTCTTTTTAGGCTACTTTGAGTGGAGTTAAGTAATAAAGCTAATCCTCACATCTCATTTTATAATTCTTTATTTTCGCTTAATTAAATATATGAATTCTTTTAAAATAAACAAAAGTTTGTTATCAATCACGATTAGTAAAACTGTGTTCAATCCATACACTCTATTTGTTACATCTTTATACTGTGGTTTTAGTCAACCTTTTTATAATTTGTGTTATAGTATGAAAGTCATTTATCAAGCGTATTTATATGTTTGTGAATAAAATCTATATGAACAATGAAATTACGGTCTTATTCCTTCCAAATCTCATGAGAAAACATACTAGATGAAAAATCTTCATTTACAAAATTATCCAGAATAACTTAGTGATAGTATCTTGAATAATAAAACGACTTGATTGAAATGCAGATTTCAATGAGAACAGCAATTTTCTCAATACGACAGACTGACCATAATTGAAAGTAATTCGCAAGAAAAAATTGATGTCCAGTATTCTATGCAAAATACCTTCCAATAATTAATACACCACTTTTCTCCTGATAACGTTTAGGCCGAGATTTAGTTCTTATAAACGTATCATGATATATTTCATTTTTTAAAACTGTTCAAGTGCTCTACTATATGTCACTACAAATAATCGAGTTGGAAGAAAAATCAAATTTTCTCATCTTTCATGAGTTTTCATAATTAACATTAGATAAAGAAATGTGTTCAGTAGAAGTAAAATGTTAGAGCCGCTTTAGTATGGAATCATAATTTCGTTGATATTGATGCTTCAAAATGTTGAAAAAGAAATAGCTTATGAGAACAAATAGGAAACTTTGTTCAGTCCCTCATTCTTGACTTAAATAAACTGGTACAAAATTCGTTGGTTGTAAAATAATTGTTATCATTTTAGGTTATTTGATTTAAATGATAATTATTTACTTACTTACTTACGCCTGTTACTTCTCGCGGAGGAGCATAGGCTGCTCACCACTATTTTTCGTCTAACCCTATCCTGGGCAATCTTTTCCAGTTCTTTCCAGTTGCTATTCATACTTTTCATATCTGCTTCCGATTCTCGACGCATTTTGTTCTTCGGTCTCCCACTTTTCCTTTTCACTTCAGAATGCGAATTTAGCGCTTGCCTCGTAATGCAGCTTGGTGATTTCAACAGTGTATGCTCTATCCACTTCTAAAGTTTTTTCCTAATTTCCTGCTCAGCTGAAAGCTGGTTTGTTCTCTCCCACAGAAGGCTGTTGCTGAAGGTATCCGATCAACAAACATTGAGTATCTTGTGTAGACAACTTGTACTTTCTTGACGATGGTTTTAGTAGTTCTCCAAGTTTCACTTCCGTACAGTGGAACTGCCTTGACGTTCTTATTGAAGATTTTGACTCTGATACTAGTTGAAAGTTGTTTTAAGTTCTATATGTTCTTCAATTGTAGGAATGCGGCCCTTGTTTTGCCAATCCCCGCCTTTATGTCTGCATCTGATCCTCCTTGATCATTGATGATGCTTCCCAGGCACGTGAGGGAATCTACATCTTTCAGGTTTTCGCCATAAAGTGTGAGTGAGTTGGTGTTCTCTGCGTTGTATATGAGGATCTTGCTTTTTCCTTTGTGAATAATTAAGCCTGCTGATGTAGAAGCTGCTGTTACACTAGCTGTCTCCATCTGCATTTGTTCGTGTGTATGGGGTCGAAGGGCCAGGTTATCTTTGAAGTCTAAATCGTTTAGTCGCATCCAACCTGTGCATTTTATTCTGTGTTTCCCTTCAGATGTCGAGGTCTTAATAATCCAGTCAACCACAAGAAGGAAGAGAAAGTGGGGGAGTGATAAGCTTTATCTAACACTATTCTATACTCGGAATGAATATATAAGCTGTCCTCCACACACGACCTCCAGTGTATTCTATCGTATAAATTCTTTATGATGTCGACGACTTTCTCAAGTACGCCATAGTGTCGGAGAATGTTCCATAAGGTTCTCCTATCCACACTCTGAAACGCCTTCTCACAGTCAAGGGATTTGGTGTATGGTGACGAGTTTCACTCTACTGATTGTTCGACGCTGATCCGTAGTGTCACGATTTGGTCTGTGCACGATTTATCCTTACGGAATCCAGTCTGTTTATATCGAAGTTGGGCGTCTACTGAGTCTTTCATCCGGTTCAGTAACACTCTGTTGAAAAACTTTTCAGGTACTGACAGTAGTGTAATGTTTCTGTAGCTCTCACATTTGCTCAAATCTCCTTTCATTAGTATCCTGAGGACGTATCCTTTCTGGTTTAACGGCACTTGTTCCTTCCCTTAAGTCTTCTTGGATAGAGCGTGGGGCATGTTAGAAGTTACTTCTATGTCTGACCATAGTGATTTGGCTGGAATATTGTTACGTCCTGCTGCTTTCCCGCTCTTGATTTGTCTGATGGCCATCCTGATTTCTTCGCTCGTTGATGGGTGACATCTATAGGGAGTTCTGTGTGTGACTGTTCAATGGAGCTGGTCTATTCAACAGTTCCTCAGTGTATTCTACTCATATATTCCTTTGTTCTTGAAACTCGGTGATCGTCTTTTCTTATTTGTCCTTAACCGGTCTCTGGTTTACTATATTTCCCTGCGAGTTTCTTCGTTGTATCATACAGCTGTTTCATACTTCCATTACTTGCAGCTTTTTCCGTCATCGTTGCCAGTTTTTCCACGTATTTCTGCTTGTCGGCTCTAAAGCTCTTCTTCCTTTGCTTGTCTCCTTCTGTGTACTTAGCCTGTTCCTTGACTTTCTCCACTCGTGTTCGGCTGTTGCTAATTGCTGTCTTCTTGTTCTCCCTTTCTTGAATCTTGTCCATTGTTTTTTCATAGAGATCTATTCCTTATGACTATGTTACTTTCAGCCCGAGACCTCCTGACACTTTGAATTTTCTGCTATTTTTATATCCCCCCATCTGACCTATATCGTAGTTTCTTCTTCTTATAATATATCTTGTAAGGCTTGGAACTAGTTGTATCTTGAATTCATTAGATTTGTCATTGTCATGATAGAAGGCTGCATTAAAGCAATGTAACACTGTTTCCTCAGTTATCGAGTGCTCTTTTAGCTCCAGTTTCATCTTGGCCACATTCAGCTGTCACTTCCTCTAACGGTTCTGACGTCTTTCACTGCCATTATGAATTTTTCAGCGGTGCAAATATGATGTATCTGGTTCTCTGTGGTGTGATCAGATGAGGCCCATGTAGCTTTGTGCGTGCGTTTGTGTGGGAATATTGTGCCACCTTTGACAGATTCTTCGAACGCATGTAGGTTTGCGAACCTCTCACCAATCTCGTTTCTCTCTCCCAGTTCATGTCGTCCCATGAAATCTCCATATCCAGAGTTGTCTATCCCGACTTTGGCATCTAGATCTCCTATCAGGATGGTGAGGTCATTTCATGGGCACTTCGCTATGGCCGATTGCAGCCTCTCATAGAACTGATGTTTATCGTTTTTGTTGGATTGATTGTTGGGTACATAACGTTAACTAATATTCATCGTGATTGCCTCCTAGTTTGTTTTGAAGGATGCTTTGACGATTCTGGATCCATGAGATTCTCATCCTACAAGTGCATCTCGTGCTACTTTGGACAGCATTAGAGCAACTCCTTGAGTGTATGGTGCATTTTTCTCTTCGTGACTGGAGTACAGCAGCATCTCTCCCGTACCTAACCTTTGCTGTTCAGCTTGGGTTTAATGGGCTTCGCTGATTCTGATCTCCTCATTTTCGTTGCTATTTGACTGGTCATCCTGGTCTCCTACATCGTCCCGAGGTTGCATTTACCTATAAAAATTGTTGTTCCGGTTGTTAGAAGTGACACCGGCCTAGTGATTTCCGAAGAATCTCGGCTTTCATCCTGAGGTGTCATAATTCTTCCGTCGACCCCTGGGGCAGAGGTTAGATTGTTTAATCTGGTTGGCATTTATTTAGTGAGATTTGGGGTTGCCGACCCCATGTCCAACCCTCCTTCTTTGCGCGGGCTTGGGACCGGCATTAGCTTTAGAAGAGCTACAGACGGAATTCCAAATGATTATATTTATGAAATACTGTGTATTCATTTGACATTAATATAGATATTTTCTACAGACAGAAATATGTAATGGATAGTCCGAATTGTTTAAGAACTTGCTAAGCTTGCTCAAAGTCTAATTTAGATGAGCATTTTAATAATTGTGTAGTTTGGAAGTAAGCCTAATGTTTTAAGAAGATCATCAAAGTTTTGATGAGTAAATAACGCAGTTGTTAAGATACGAGTACTGGGTAAGAATGGCAAATCAATTGATGAAGTAATGAAAATTCATCATTTGAGATGGCTGAGACACGTGTTACGTATGCCCAACCACCGACTGCCTCGACGCACGATGCTCAATGGTATAGGAGTAGGTTGGAAGAAAGCTAAGGGCGGCCAGACCAAAACATGGGACAAATCCATGAAGTCACTAACAGATGGACTGAGCCATGTTGGTAGGTGTAGACTACCTGGTTGGGATCCGCGAGATGATAGCAACCGATGGTTATAGACCTTGAATGACATGGCTCAAAATCGTTTGCAATGGTGCGAGCAGGTGCATCCACTCTTTGTGTTCTTCGAATTCTAATCTTCTGAATCCGTCATGTCCCTTTTTTCCTCTTTCCAAATTTATTTCGCTGGATTATGCTCCTTGAATAACATCTTTAAACCCTAATCTTTCTGATTACTGCTTGTACTCTTACCGTCTCTACCACCACGGGATTTGAATCAACAACTGCATCTCTGTGCTAATGTGCTGTGGAAACTCGAACTGATGTACGTACGTACGAAGTTCTACGTTGTTACTGACTGATTGTTTAAAGTTTTAATAGTCAAATTTACTTATTAATAAAATAAAATTACAACTACACTCTAAATAAAAATAAGCCCAAGTCAAGGATAGGAAGAAGAACAATGGGTTTATAGCGGTTTTTGTGCAGATGTAAATGGCAATAAAAATTGGTAGTAATATTTCAATGTCTATGAAAACGAAAGTGTAGCAACTTAGAAGAGTAGTGGATTTATGAATAATTCATATTCAACGAGTTGTATTATTTTATTGTAGAAATAGGATTTCTAAACTTATGACTTAAAACTAAGACTAGATGAAACTAGTTTAAAGCGAAAACACTGACTCTCATATTTTAAGAATAATCATACCTGCAGATTTTATATATGCACATATTCTTTAGCACACGATGATATTTACAAAGGTTTTCATAGAATATTAATGCTGTCTTACAACTTTTATTGTGAGGAATGATCTAACTTGATATAGAATCTTTTTGATACAGAGGTCTTGGTTGTTGATAAAACAATATAATCAATAATTTTATCGTCAAATGGCTTGAAATATCATGAAAAGCCCTAATAAGGCAACTGTCATAGTGTAGTGTAAAAAATTTAAAGTCTGTGTCTTTTATGGCATTAGGGAATAGCATTTATTATTTATAGTGAGTATGGGGATTTGTGGAGATTGAAGTGTTTTCACAGTTGAATTCATGAGTCATTTCAACCTAGACCTCTATTGAGAACCTGAAAGCAATGAACGGTCGTTTCGTTCTAGTAAGGGACTACTCAGTGGTGCGCATTCACGATCCCAAACTCGCAGCTCGAACCTAGAACACTTGGTTTCGGACGCGAACGCTAAATATCTAAACCACTGAGCCCGCATCCAATAATGTAAATGTCTAACTTTGGTCTTTCACAACCTTTCATCTATTGGTTGTGGTTAATAACTGCCTCACACGCGGTATGGATTGAACTTGATTGTGTACGGTCTCTGATTACCATTCCTGAAGTTACATCCTCATGCTAGTCACTCGTGAGCACACAATCATTGTCAGTATCGGAATTTATGGAGATTGTTGTTCTTTCTCAGTGGTTTGGAGTTTAAGCGCTCGCGCGCGAGATCGATAGTCCTGAGTTCGAGTTCTGCGTGTAGGATCGTAAATGTACACTACGGAGGAGTCCAAAACGTAACTGTCCTTCGGTTATTCCGAGTATTCATTGGTGGTCTTGTATAGGTCAACTAATGAATTAAAGTCAGGTTTAGGCAGTGGCTAATGGTTTCGACTCATTCGTCAATCAAAAAAGCATTCAATCAGTAATTTGAGAGTTCATAGTTTTAAATTAGTTTTGGCTTCCAATTTTTTTACATTTGATTTTTTTCGTCAGATAATTAGTTTTACCATATGAATTTATTATTTATTTATTTGAACACATAAATATTGGTACAAAGGAGCAACGAATACATATGCGCTACACAAAGCACTTGATTTGTGTGTAAGTTGTGATACTGCCAGGGTGCCCAGACCGAAGCAGATGGTGTTCGTAAGGGGCCATACCAGGAGCCTTCGACCTAAAATTCTGATCCATAAGGCAGTGGAGCAACGCCGGGAGATGCAATCCCATGGTAGCCGGTGACCAATGATTGGTTCATACGCCATTTGTTCCCTTAGTATCCTGGAGCCCATGTGCACCAATGGTCTAGAATCATGGTTTTCCAACTCCTCTAGGTGGATCATCCATATCCACCAACCCAGTTAAAGCGTCGGACACTCGCTTTTCTTCTTCTGAATTCGGTAAAAAACACCCCTGATGCGAGGAAGCAATGAGCAGGACTTCCCTGACAGTGGCTGTATGCACATTGCCATGTGAGAGCATTTCAAAAGGGAAAGTTAACTTTCCCCACCCTCAGCAGTACCAGGACAGCTTTTGAAAGGATTAAGTTAATTTCGATTTTTAAATGAAACCAGTCTTCCTAAACTGAACTATATTAAGTTGATATATATAATTCAAATGGTCAAGAGTATCTAATAAATGCTTGAATTTCAAATATTTTAAACCACTATCTATGAAATAAGTGAGTATGCAAGATCAAGGATAATTAACTACAAATTGTTCTCATTTTTAATAAGGAATAGTTTATCCGTCCATGATTTTAATTGTAACATAGAATATTTTTCATTCTCATTTAGTTTTTTTATTTTTCAAACGATAGTTCACAATACTAATATGAATAGTTCTTGATCTATTGTTATGTTCTATCTTTCATAAGTCTATTAAATTTTTGTTATAATTTAGTTTATTATAGTAATCAATATTCTTAGCCTTGAAGTCAATAAATTGAAATTAAACAAGAGAAATCATGGGTTAGCATTTTCTGAAGGAAACACATTATTCTGTGACAACGATATATATATATATATATATATATATATATATATATATATATATATATATATATATATATATATATATATATATATATATATATATATATAATTTCTTTCTTTTACGGTTAAAATATCTGATCATGGTATGATAAAAGTATAGAAATAGTTGATGTGATTAAGCTAAATTTGTTTGTTGTTTAATACTTGAACAATAAACTACTTTTAGATCTCTAATATTTACTTTATATGTTAATTACGTTTTTATACAAAGCATTTTAAATAGAGTATCTAAGGCATAATGTTGATTATTTGACAATGAAAAAAGATCATCTTGATATGGTATGTTTTCAAAACTAGATTATTCTAAATTAAATTAAACAACTATGGATTAGGAAATTAAATTTATGTTTGTTTGTTTGTTGTTACTTCATCCAAATGTTTATTTTGTTTTATTTATAGGAACTAATTAAATTGTTTGATATCAATGGTGATGGTTTGATAAGTTTTGGCGAATATAAATTGATATTGGGATTGACAGGTCAATCAATCGATGGGTAAGCCAAATGATCACCTAAAACTGTAATCATTCTGATGTTATATATAGTCTCAGGTATTTTTTTCTTTTGAACACTGAAAATGATGCACACTAATATAAACTTAAGTCATTGAGTTACGCCAACACGGTTACACTGATTTCAGTAAAAGTTTTTTTTAGAAATTATGTAGAAACTGTTATCTTATTGATTAATCTACCTAACTGACTGATCATAGGACTTTTTTACCTGTAAACATTGAATTTGCTCTCAGATTGAAACTGTCACCTGCCTGAAAGTTATTTAAATGACTTATTTTAACAAACAATGTCAATACTATTAAGGATTGTTGGGTAGTACTTTCAACCTTTTGTCAAAAAAATATGGTACATAACTTCATGTAATCACTAGTATCATAGTTACTATTTCAAGTAGACTGATAAAATTTCGTAAGTAAAATACATTTCAAAGCTACTGAATATTAAATCACAATTAAATAATTTTCATTGTTTTATATCAGCCTAAACATTTCTATGTATGGGAAATCATCTAATAGTTGAACACGAAGAAGATCATACCCATAAAATTTAACTTATTAGAACATAGTGTTGTTCACAGTTCGTTAAACATCCTATACAAAGTACAATATTACATTAACTTGATTCCTAATATTTAGAACTGTTTTAATAGCTCATTGGGCTAACAGATTATACTTATTTAAATAGTTGGTCTTGTGAATACATCATATTTTTATGAAGAATCATGTTTATTGAATTTTTTTAGAATAGGCTAGTTAATGATATGCTGAATGAAACGTGATTGTAGCCTTAATTGTTAGATAACAGCTTAATTATAGATGAATATATTTTGTCATATTTCTACAAATAACTGGTAAAAATAACAAAGCCAAATAGCTATTCAGAAGTGTGAATCTTGGTAACAAATTTACACACAATGTCATAAGACTAAACGTAAAGTCACACAATCAGTCATTAAGAAGACATAGTCAAAATACTCAAGAATAGGTAAAGTGGACTAGTACACTGACTAAACCTAGACTTGCAAATAAGTTTTAAGAAGAGAATTGCTTATTTGAAAAAAAAATCAAAATTTTAGCAAAATGTGTCAGTCTGCTTATCACATTAACAAAAATGATGTATCTTAAATTGAAGCAGCCCATATGTTTGACAAGAATATGATATTTGGATGACAGCAAATAACTAAAAGTGTAGTTGTCAAGTTCACTAGTTTGGTTGTTCTTTTGTTGAACTCCAATTTAAGAACGTAATACAAATCACCAACTCATTTCAAGCAGAGAAGAAGAAAATGATATGCGGAGTACCAAAATTGTTGTCTTCTAGGCTTTAAATCAGCTACACATAGACTGAAGTAAAAAAAAGAAGCAACAGTTTGCATATCTTACCCAGAAATGTTGGGGTGAATGCAATAAATAAGGATACCAACTGGATTTTGACTATATATTAAATATCTTGGAATAACGTTTTAACAGTTGTAATCCCCTTTAATACATAAATATTTAACAGCATATTCAAATTAAAGCCATTCAACGAACTAATAATATCTGAAGTGTTTTAGGTGATCTGTGACTTTAAAAACTAAGATAAAACACTTTAAATTAGGTGTATTCATTTTTTCTAGTCAAAGCTAGAAAAAAGGTTCGAGGTTTATTACATTTGTATTATTCTCAAATATATCCATAATATTCTCAAATGTTACTCTAGTGATGAGGTCATTTACCTTATTAGGAAAACATTTTTAATATGTTTTATGGAATAACGTTAGTTTAAGGCAACCTTTTATGACAATATGTATAATACCATGTTTCAGTGCAAATATTGAAGAGAATCTACGAAAACTGTACTTGTTTCATTCTAAGTCATAAATCGGTATCAAATGCAAAACACAACAGCATCGATTAGCTTCATTTTATTAATGCATAAACTATAAATACAGTTTGACGGAAACCAGTCAAATTTTTTTCATTATTTTAGTTGGAAACGTCTATTTCGAAAATTGGATAAAGATGGTTCAGGTACTTTGGATTTTCATGAAATCTGTTCACTATTTGGTGGGGATAATTCTTCTGAAGTGAGAAAATCTGTTCGAAATTACATGAAACGATATGATACTGATCGAGATGGACGACTTAATATTAGAGAATTTTTAACATTTGTTGCTGAACAAGCTGAACATAGTGCAGTATAATAAACAAACAGAAAAGAATTATGTATTGAAAAATAACAGAGATTACATTTGTACAGAAATATTGATAACTTCCCCTTAGTATAAACAAATAAATGATCACTAAAATTTAAGCTAAAATAAGTAACCCGTTCTGTTTGTTTTCTGATATATTGGTTATATATTCATTTTTTTCAGAAATCAAATAAATTCATTTCACAGAGTTAGAATTTTCGCAAGAGAATATATATGGTGTCAGAATAACTCATTTCCAAATCTAACCTTCATTCAAATCTGAACCGTCTTCTTAAGTTGCAGTATACTTACTTACTGACTTATACCTGCTATCCCGCGTAGAGGGAGTACTGGCTACCCATCAGTATTCTCCAAGCAACTTTGTCATGGGCAATCCTTTCCTGTTGTTTACAGTTGCTGTTCATTTTTTTGATATCTGCTTCAAATCCTTGAGGCAATGTGTTCGTCGGTCTTCCTTTTTTCCGCTTCCTTTCAGGATTCCAAGTTAAGACTTTCCTCGTGATTCAGTTTGATGATTTACGAAATGTGTATACTTTCCACACTTACAGCAGCTTGGTGTTGATGGAATCTGGCCAGCAGACATCGGGTATCTTGTGTAGACAATTGTTTATAAATAATTGTACCATTTTGATGATGGTTGTGGTAGTTCTCCAAGTTTTAGTTCCATAAAGTAAAATTGTCTTGACGTACGTATTGCAGATTGTAACTTGGATATTGGTTGACAGTTGTTTTGGGTTCGATATGTTCTTCAAATATAGGGATGCTGTCCTTGCTTTTCCAATCTTCGCATTTAAGTTTACATCGGGTCCTCCTTGTTTATCGATGATGCTACTCAGTTATGTGGAGGATTTTACCCCTTTCCAGTGCATTCCAATCAAATGTTTGCTTTCTTCTTTGCTTCTGTGTATTCGGTATGTCTTTTGGCTTTCTCCGTTCTTGTTCAGCTGTTATTAATTGCTGTCTTCTTGCTCTTCCCTTCCTGAATCCTGCACAGGATATCAATATTCATTCATTCCTTATGATGATGCTTATTGCGACACAGAAATTCCTGACACGTTGGACTTAGTGCTTCTTTGGTCCCTTTCCATTTGTCCTCCATTTTATTTTCCCCTTCTTTGAGTAGATCTTGTAAGGCTTGGAACCTGTTGTTGAGAACTACCTTGAATTCAGCGAGTTTTTCATTGTCGTGATAGAAAGCTGCACTAAACCCATGTAATGCTGTTTCCCCAGTTGTCCAATGCTTCTACAGCTGTGGTGTGAGACCCATATCGCTTTGTGCGTGCGTTTGTGTGGGAATATTGTGCCACCTTTGACAGATTCTTCGAATGCATGTAGGTTTGCGAATCTCTCATCAATCTCGTTTCTCTCTCCCAATTCATGTCGTCCCATGAAATCTCCATATCCAGAGTTGTCTATCCCGACTTTGGCATCTAGATCTCCTATCAGGATGGTGAGGTCATTTCATGGGCACTTCGCTATGGCCGATTGCAGCCTCTCATAGAACTGATGTTTATCGTTTTTGTTGGATTGATTGTTGGGTACATAACGTTAACTAATATTCATCGTGATTGCCTCCTAGTTTGTTTTGAAGGATGCTTTGACGATTCTGGATCCATGAGATTCTCATCCTACAAGTGCATCTCGTGCTACTTTGGACAGCATTAGAGCAACTCCTTGAGTGTATGGTGCATTTTTCTCTTCGTGACTGGAGTACAGCAGCATCTCATTCGAATCTACCCAGGTAGGGTCCAGTAGGTTTCACTGATTCTGAGAACCTCCAAGTTGTATCTCCTCATTTTAGTTGCTGTTTAACTGGTCCCACGTCCAACCGCCCATCTTTATCCGGGCTTGGAAACGGCAACAACCCTGAAATGGCCAGAGGAGTAGTTTAAATGAAATATAATCTAAACAAATATATAATTAAAAAGTGTTCCGATATGTACATAATTTATTTACATTAAATTACGTTGAGCATTGATCGGTCGATTTATAATGGATCGATAAGTGACCGTTAAGTAATTGAATATTACCTACTTGTTTAAAAATTTTTTATTCTTTTTGTCTCCTGATAAAATTGATCAGTATCGCAGATTAACGTGTATAGTCACTATGCTGATAAGATAATGATGATTTCTAGTGTTAATCTAAATGTTAAGTATTAATTAATATCACCGTTGATTTTTAGTCATTTCAACAGAAATCCAAGTTTGACTAAACATAAATACATTAAATTACATTCATGTCATCATCTTTTTTGAATACATTGGTTCTTTTCTTCTTAAGTTCTAATATAACAAATGTTGAACAATAAGTTAATCTTATTAGGTTGTTATGGATTCTGGATTGTAAGTAAAATTAGTACATAATATTGTAAGGAGTAAAAGTTGAACTGAGTACATTTTTTCCAGTTGAGTAATGTTTATTGATTTACGAATCCCATAGAATAAAAAATCCTAATGAATAAAATTCATTTTCTACTCACGAGTTGAACAGTGTGCAAAATTGCATCAGTATGGAGCTCAACAAAGTAGCCTAGTGATGCCTAAAATAATAGTTAGAGCTTAACACGGCCAAATGTGGATGAATATACTTTGGTAACATATCGCTCAACTTAGATCTTGTCATAAATGGTAAGGCGTTATCTAAGTTGCATACATTATTGTACTTAGAACTTAGGTACTCCTACAATTTTTCCTTCACAGAAAAGGTTTCGAAAGTGATTTCTAAGTCCCATCGTCATATGGGTTGCATAATTCGTAATCTTTATAACAAAAAGTCACTTATTTTGATGTACAAAGTATATATTCAACCAATCCTAGAATACTGCACGTTTATTCTTGGTAGTGTTTGCACAAATGATAGATTAAGGTTTGAATCCGTTCAGAGACGATTTACATTTTGCACTCTTGGGACTAACTGTATCTTAAATTATAAGTCCAGATGTAAGAAACGTGAACTAGATTTTTTCTGGAGGAGGTGACCCAAAGTAGACCTAATATTTTTCTTCAAAATAATTAATCAGTTGTCTTTTACATACTGTGAAGTGATTCAATATTCAGAAATTCTTAGTTACAACATCTGTAACTCTTTGTCATTTGTAAAACAACCAAATTCCAAATCTTCATGTATGAACTAATTTAGCAGGAAGTGTTCCAGACTCTGGAACAATTTACTACAATCTATCCGTGAGATAAAACCTCATCCTTTGTTCGCTGTATTGATGCTTACCTCTTCTCTAAAAATGCTTTAAGTACTCACACACCTGTAAATGTGTCTTATTTTACAAGTGAGATTATGAGAATTTCAAATGTTTAAACATTTTTATTGCTAAATTCACTAAGTAAACCTCCCAACCTGCTGTTACTTTACATTAACACCGTTCTGAAATAATTTGAGTAATATCTAACACGAACAGTACATTATAAAGTAGCCTGACATATGTATTATGGTATACCTGACTGACCTATCGTAGTTGTTATTGCTCTGTTCTTCCATGCATTCTGTTTCTGTCTTATTTTCTCTAGTTGTAGATAGTTACAATGAATTCTTTGTGGCACAGGAAATGACCATATATGCATCGTTCATACATCAACAGGATGTCAACTTAAAAAGAATTAAAAGTTCCAGGCTGATGCTTTTCATTGTTGTAATATGAGTGAAAAATTTACTATCTAATCAAATTTTGAACTCGATTACTTCAAACAGTCTGATATCATATGTGTGTTCCCTACATTTAATATCACTATCTACATCAAGCTGATCATGCCCGTAAACAGGCATGAATCCTGTAATAATTATTTTCGGAATACATAATAATAATTATTATTACTATTACCTGACAACATCCAACAAAGAAAAAGTAGCAGACAATGCAAAAGAAATAATACAGAGCAGTTTGAAAGCATATATAGTTATAATTTACAAAATGATCAGTTATTTATTTGAAAATAAAACATGCTTAGTTAGGCATACTGATCATATTTTATATAAAGCAAATTAGTTTACTCTCAAAATGATTATTTATGTTGTCTTTCTAGAAAATCTTATCTTATTCTAAGGTTGACACTATTTGTAATAAAGTCTGTATTCATAAATACTGCACGACACTTAAAAAATATATCCGTTGTTAATCATGGTGTTTATACATGTTTCCATAAAAAAATAATCTGTTTTGCATCTGGACATCAATGGACTGTATAATGAAAGAAACTGAAAAAAAGCAATGTTGGTTATTAAAAATAATGGATGCCGGCTTGGTGATCTAGAGGGTAAGTGTTCGCGCACGAGACCGAAAAACTTGGGTTCGAGTCCCTCATGCGGGATCGTGGGTGCACATTGCTGAGGAGTCGTATACTAGGACGGAGTGACCATTCAGTTCTTCCAGGAATTCAGTGGTGGTGCAGCTTGCATCGACTCATGAATTTCACTATGTATAAAATGACTATAATTCCATAACATGAAACAAGTTTAATGATCAATAATTTAAAGAGGTGACAAAATTAAGTTTTGTTAATCAATGGGTATGATAAATTTCAGATGACGTTGTCGCGTTTATGTTTTTTTCACATCTGATTGGCCAGTGGTTAGCAATGAACACAGAAAACAAACTGAACTAAATATCATTTTTTGTCTTCTCCAGCTGTAATCGCTGAAGTGGTTGATATATAATTTGCCAAAACTCAACTGTCACATTCTCTACCTATTTCTTCTATACGAACATTTGACAGGAGAACTAGTTTAGGCTGAGTGATAGATACAACATATTGATTCATTTCAATAGTATTTTTTATGGAATTTACAAAAACTAATACTTAAATACCGAAGGTTTAACAGTTGTATAAGTAAGTATAGTTGTTTGCACCATGTTTCAGGCATTTTAGTTAGTTTCACTAAGTAGTATTGGGTACTCGGTGATTGAGTTATAGTGATTATTTGATTTTAACACTTAGTTTATTAGCTGGAGGGTTTTATGAAAATTATACGTTGTA